ACTTGGCAAGAGCCCCATCTCTACAAAAAATTAGCTGGACATAGGCCAGGGGCGGTGGCTCACACCTGTAATCCCAGCACTTTGGGAGGCTGAGGTGGCCGGAACATGAGGTTAGGAGTTTGAGACCATCCTAACCAACATGGTGAGACCCTGTCTCCAAAAAAAAACACAAAAATTTGCTGAGTGTAGTGGTGCACACCTGTAATCCCAGCTACTTGGGAGGCTGAGGCAGGAGAATCGCCTGAACCTGGGAGGCAGAGGTTGCAGTGAGCAGTTATTGCGCCACTGCACTCCAGCCTGGCAACAGAGCCAGACTCTGTCTCAAAAAAAAAAAATTAAAAATTAGCTAGACGTGGTGGGGCAGGTTGTGATGCCAACAGTACTCTAGCCTGGGTGATGAAACCCTGTCTCAAAAAAAAATTTTTTAATCCTTAAAAAAAAACAAAAAAAAAAGTTTATATACCTTTTCATTTGTTCTTTCCTCCTCCACAGCTTTTTACAAACAGGTTAAACATGGAAAGTGTTTTACATTTGTTTAAGTCAATCCAAACTACCTAACATTAAGTGTTCTTCATTGTTAAAATAATTTACTATTCAGAATGCACCACAGCCAGGCCAGGTGCAGTGGTTCACCTATGCCTGTAATCCTAGCACTTTGGGAGGCCAAGGGTGGCAGATCACCTGAGGTCAGGAGTTCGAGACCAGCCTAGGCAACGTGGTCAAACTCCATGTCTTCAAAAAATTAGCTGGGCATGGTGGCACATGCCTGTAGTCCCAGCTACTGGGGAGCCTAGGTGGAAGGGTCACCTGAGCCTGGGAGGTCAAGGCTACAGTGAGCCGTGATCGCACCACTGCATTCCAGCCTGGGTTACAGAGTGAGACCCTGTCTCAAAAATAAAAATAAAAAATAAATAGAATACACCACTACTAATACTGCCCATCCAGACTTTCCACTCAACACCAATAAAAATTTGAATATCAGCCAGACACGGTGGCTCATGCCTGTAATCCCAGCACTCTGGGAGACAGAGGCAGAGGGATCACCTGAGGTCAGGAGTTTAAGACCAGACTGACCAACATGGAGAAACCCCCTCTCTACTAAAAATACAAAATTAGCTGGGCATGGTGGCACATGCCTATAATATAATGCCAGACTTGGGAGGCTAAGGCAGAAGAATCGCTTGAACCTGGGAGGTGGAGTTTGCAGTGAGCCGAGATCATGCCATTGCACTCCAGTCTGGGCAACAAGAGGGAAACTCTATCTCAAAAAATAAAAAAAATTTTGAATATCAGTTCCCAACCTGAAGTCTCTTAATCCTTCCAGAAGGGAAGGGAATAAACACTTGGTGAGCATTTAATACAGATCCCTAAAAAAGCATAATAGATTTCCTGGAGATATGCCCAACATTTCAAAAAAGCTGAACAGAAATTACACATAGGCTGAAGTAAATTTCTGCAGGCTATTAATAAATGCAGACTGGTAAATCTTTCAAGGTATTATTTCACCACGATATTCCTCTAAATAGGTCCTCTTCTGAGGCTTATTCAAAAGACATAGAATATGATGCTATGTACTGTAATGGATCATGTACAAAATCCTACTGAAATACTATGGAAGGAAGAATTAGCTCTGCCTAGAAAGACTTCACACAGAGAGAATATCACAGCAGAACCTGGAAAAATAATTCAGCTTTCTGGGCTATAGATGCCTCATAAGTATGTTTCTGGTTACAAAAATTCACAGAATTTAAGTTGGATTAGACTTTAAAAATCACCTAGTCCTGAGGTTTTTTTCACCCTTATTTTAAACTAATAAAATATTTTATTTAAAAATCTAATTGAAACTCCAGTACATAAAACAGGTAATGTGGAAGAACAGCTCTTTTGAAAGGGGAGGGTTATTGAAAAACACTGCTGTTCTAATCAACCCCCTTTGTTTTTAAAATAAGCTGAGACTCTAAGAAGGAAAATGACGTGGCAAAAGCCATATTAATACAAAACTCAACAACTGATTCAAAGAACAACTCTTGAGCATTATCTCCTCTTTGAAGGCTTTCCTTTCTCTCCAGGTGGAATTTACCAATTTATTTCACCCCTCTGTATATCTAGGACATACTTCCATTATGGCTTCTATAAAACTTTAGTGCCCTAATTTTATTTTTGAGACAGTGTCTCACTGCTACCCAGGCTGGAATGCAGTGGCACGACCAGGGCTCACTGCAGCCTCAACTTCCTAGGCTAAGGGATCTTCCTACCTCAGCTTCCCAAGTAGCTGGGACTACAGGCACACACCACCACACCCAGCTAATTTTTTGTGTGTAGAGACAGGGTCTCACCATGTTGCCCAGGCTGGGCTCAAACTCCTGGGCTCAAGTGATCCTCCCAACTGGGCCCCTCATGTGCTGGGATTACAGGCGTGAGCCACAGCAGCCTTTAATTTTATTTTTTTATGTGTCTGTGTCCCTCTCTACTATTGTAGGCTCCCTGAAGGCAGGGACTGGCTTAATCATTTTTGTATATTCGCCCAGACTAACATGTTATTTATTACATTATATTTGACCAAGTTTCAGAAAATATTTAATCTAGCTTGATGCCTGGCACATAGTAGGACTTAATATTTATTAAATAAATTTACCAAAAATGAGGTAAGTGAAATAACATATCTAAAACAGTTACAACAGACCAGGCATGGTGGCTCACACCTGTAATCCCAGCACTTTGGGATGCCAAGGCAGGTGGATCACGAGGTTAGGAGATCAAGACCAGCCTGGCCAACTGGTCTCTATAAAAAAAAAAAATTAACAGTTACAACAGTAACTGAAACATAGTGTCTATTCCACAAACATTAGTTATTATATAACTTTATATAGGCAGGAAAAAAAACCCTGAAACTATTACTGAACATCTGATCTGGAAGACAAAAACTAAGCACCTTCTATCAAGTTTTCAACCTGCTCATTTTTACATTGCCAATACAGGTTGAGTATCCTTTATCCGAAACACTTGGGACCAAAAGTGTTTCAAATTTTGGATTTTTTTGAATTTTGGAATATTTGGGTATACATAATAAGGTATCTTGGGGATGGGACCCAGTATGAATACAAAAATCATTTATGTTTCATATATACCTTATACACATAACCTGAAGATAACTTTATACAATATTTTAAATAATTTTGTGCATGAAACAAAGTTTGTGTACATTAAACCAACCATCAAAAAGCAAAGATGTCGGGTATGGAATTTTTCACTTGTGGTAATGTTGGCACTCACAAAGTTTCGGATTTCTGAAAGTTTTGGATTTTTGGATTAGGAATACACAACCTGAACAACCACATTTTTAATAAGAGAAAATTCAGCTCATTTATAAAGATCTATTGACTCCAGCAGCCTGGGGAAAATATTATCTAGACTTGAAGTGAAAGGAGAAATTAGGCCGGTCACTTCTTTCTAGTTTTGGTTATCTGTCAAAGCGGGGTGGTGGAAAGTTTTAAAGATTATCTCTAAGGTTCTTTCTTGCTCTAATGCTATAGGGGCTTATAACAATTTAGAGCTAGAATCCTTCTTCAGCTTTCAATTCACATGAGCAAGAACTCTGTGAAAAAAATCAGCAAATGGGCCAGGTGTGGTGGCTCACACCTGTAATGCCAGCACTTTGGGAGGCCGAGGTGAGCGGATCACGAGGTCAGAAGATCGAGACCATCCTGGACAAAATGGTGAAACCCCATCTCTATTAAAAATACAAAAATTATCTGGGCATGGTGGTACGCACCTTTAGTCCCAGCTACTCGGATGGCTGAGGCAGGAAAATCGCTTGAAATTGGGAGGCGAAGATTGCAGAGAGCTAAGATCGTGCCACCGCACTACAGCCTTGTGACAGAGACAGCCTCCTTCTCAAAAAACAAAAAAATTAAAATCAGCAAATAATGCAATGGATTAGATATCAGATAGGAAGGGTCGTCTTTCCAGCTCTGTTATTATTTAGCTGTGTGATTCTGAGCAAGAAGCAAACTCTCTGGATCTCAATTTCCTCAACGTGTTCAACAAAGTTGTTGGACAATATGAACTCTATTTAAAATACATCAAAGTCCAGGCCGGGCATAGCGGTTCACTCCTATAATCCCAGTACTTTGGGAGGCCATGGCAGGAGGATTGCCTAAGCCCAGGAGTTTGAAATTAGCCTGGGCAACACCACAATACCCAGACTCTTATTTAAACACACACACACACACACACACACACACACACACACACACGATACATCATAGTCATATTCCATGAAATAAGTACCTCTGAAGGAAATATTCAGGTGGGTTATCAATCACCAATTATTAGAAATATTTAGAGGACTCCTGAACAAACCAAAAGTAGAGAATTTCAAGATTAGAAGAAACCTTACACCTCACCAACTGAGACCCAAGTCCTCTCTAATATATTCCTGGAAGAGGTCGCCCAATCATTTTGGAAATGGAGAACTACCCACGGAAACAAGCCATTTCAACTTAGGTCAAATATGATGCAGAGTTACTTTACTGAAGCCACACCATCCTTTGGTAACTTTCGTCCACGAGTTTCACCTCTCTATTACTTAAGGGTCCCTCAAATATTTTGGATAGTGATAATATGCCCCTTAAACAGCCTGTCCTCCAAAATTAAAGTACCCAACTCCATCAACCTTTCCTGGCAACGTAATACCAAGACTCCCTCACCATTCAGGCTGCGTTCCTCAAAGAAACCTCCATTCTTGCTTTAGCGACTGTATTCAAATGGCTCGAAAACTTCTCCCATTCTGACATCCTGGAACCCAAGATTTCCCACTTGCCCAGCTGACACCACAGAGAAGCTCCTAATCACGCTTGCCACCTCCACCAAAGGAAGCATTTGGGATGGAAAGTGTGCCCTGTTGCTCCATTGGGAGACATGGAGACAAGAAGTGACAGCGGCACCGACAGAGAGGCTTGCACACTGTTCTCCTCCCCAGTGCAAGCCTCCTCCCTCACCGGTATTGCTTGGGGTCGCTGGGAGACTTGACGATCTCAGGGTCCCCGGCATTACTGAGTGACCCCCTCCGTCCCTCTTCCTCAGATTCATCCGCTCCTAGACGGGCAACCCGGCTGTTTTCGCCCAGATCCTGTCCATTGGGCTGCAGGTCAGGGAAGCTGCAGGTAGACTTCGCCTTGTTCCTTCCAGGCATGGCCAGAATGGGAAAGGGTCTGGCAGCAGCAGAGTCTTCGCACTGACCCCGCTTTTCGATTCCCCAAAGTGCCGCGAGCTCCCGCCCGGCCTCACACAACTTCCTCCGTGTGGCACAGACTGCAGCAACCGTGACTCTCCTCAGCATTCACCACCAAGCTGGAGCGATGGACATTCCGCTTCCCAGGACCCACCTCCTCCGCGTTCCAGAGGCGGTGGCGGCCGGCGCTGCTGCTGCCGCCGCCGCTGAGAACAGGCCTAAACCCCTCCCCCAACCCGGTCTCTCTCACGCCAACTTCCCTCATCCCTCCGCCCTCCTGGCCGCCGAGGACGCTACTGATTTTAGCCAATCATGAAGCAAGAAAATAGTCACGCGCACGCAAGCAACCAATGAGAAACGGAGAGGAACTAAAGTGACCCGGACGGATTCTTGGAACAGCCAGCAAGCTTTTCGAAACCCAAAGTGGGAGGGGCGAGGGAGAAGAGGCGGAGGACGACGGGAGAAGGACGCCTGGGCGGCTGAGCAACGTTTATGACGTACCGGGGGAATGGGTTGTGGCGATCACTGATTTAGTGCTCCGCGTCTCAAAGAAAAATATTCCTCTAATGAGAAAACCGACACACGAGTAGAGAATATTAATTCCAAAGTTTTCAATTTTCCCATTCGTGTCATATTTTGGGTACCCTGCCCCTCAGACCCGGGGCGAACCTTCAGCTGTGACTCAGCACGTAAAAATGACGAACGCCGGAAGTCTTTTACTACCCCGCAGGATAGACCTGGTCCCGAGCGCCGCAAATATAATTGGCTCTTCTCTACCCTGTTGTCTACCCGACCATGGTGGGTTTTCACCCTCAAAGCCTAAGAAAGTTCTAAAAAGACCAGTGTGAATGTGATCACTCTTTTGTGTAAAAACATTTTTTAGCTCCTCCAGCCTGCTGTTAAATTCGGCCACTTTTTATTGAGCAGCTACAGCATCTGCTGCCTTCAAGTCTTATTTCCCAGTTTTTGCCGCTTGCAGTGGTCTTTGGTGAGCAATGTAAATGTGACGGAAATACAAACATAAACGAAAACTGAAAAGCAGCCGAAATTAATAAGATGCAATATACTGACACCATGCGATAACAAATCCTAGCCCATAAAAAGAATACAGAAAAAAAAAAAAAATATATATATATATATATATATATGAATGAATGAATGGAGAAAGACTTGAAGCTGGGAGGTGTGTTGATGGTTACTATATCTTCAAGGTTTTGGAGGCCTCCCTATGTTCCAGATGCAAGGAATACAACCATGAACAAAATAAAACTTGCCTTAGGCAGGGCGTGCTAGCTCACACCTACAATCCTAGTACTTTGGGAGGCCAGGAGGATTACTTGAGTCTGAGAATTTGAGACCAGCCTGGGCAATATGGTGAGAACCCCGTCTCTACAAAATTCTTTTTTTTAATTACCCAGGCGTGGTGGTGCGTACATACGGTCCCAGCTACTCAGGAGGCTGAGGCAGAGGATTGCTTGAGAGCAGGAGGTCGGGCTGCGGTTAGCTGTTATTGCACCACTGCACTGCAGCCTGGGTGACAAAGTGAGACACTATCAACAAAAAATTTTCAGCCTTGCCTTTGTGGAGCTTGCATTCTAATGGGAGGAAACAGTAAAATATGTCCACTAAAGAAAATCAGGCTTTTAAATAATTGATGTTGGCTTTCTTCAGAATTCTTACTAAGGACTGCCACCTGGGAGAGTCACAGAGTTTGTTATACTGCTCCAAAGCAGTGTTTCAGCCCAGCTTATATACAGGTGGCGGTGGCTCTGCATGTGCTTGGAAGTTACATCACACGTGCTCAGAAAGGCTGGGGTGGTGGCTTGGGCCTGCAATCCCAGTGCTTAAGGAGGCTGAGGCAGAAGGATTGCTTGAGGCCAGGTGTTGACGACCAGCCTGTGTCACATATCAAGACTGTTCCCATACTCATTAAAAAACAAGACTGGAAAATAAATTTAAAAAAAAACAAAAAACAAAAAAACGGCTGGTAGAACATGCCTGCAGTCCTAGCTACAGGGGTGGCTGAGGTGGAAGGATTACTGGAACCCCTGAGTTTGAGGTTACAGTGAGCTATGATAGTGCCACTGCACTCTAGCCTGGTGACAGCAAGACCTTGTCTCTAATAAAAAATTTAAAAATGGGGCCAGGCATGGTGGCTCAAGCCTGTAATCCCAGCACTTTGGGAGGCCAAGGTGGGTGGATCACAAGGTCAAGAGATCGAGACCATCCTGGTCAACATGGTGAAACCCGTCTCTACTAAAAATACAAAAAATGAGCTGGGTGTGGTGGCGCGTGCCTGTAATCCCAGCTACTCGGGAGGCTGAGGCAGGAGAATTGCCTGAATCCAGGAGGCAGAGGTTGCGGTGAGCCAAGATCGCACCATTGCACTCCAGCCTGGGTAACAAGAGTGAAACTCCGTCTCAAAAAAAAAAAAAAAAAAAGTTAAAAATGTACTGGAGTTACACTAGAGCAAAATCTCATAAAGGTTTCGGTAGAAGGGTACATCTCCTAATAGATTATGGAGGCATAGTCATGAATCCTGTCAGTCATCTTATTTACAGGAAGAGGCAAAGTCTAGGATCATTGGATTTATCTTTTCCAAAAATATAGTGATTCAGACATGGGAACTTGTATCCGTGCTGCTTATCATCTTCAGGGTATTCTGGAGGGCTCTGCACAGTCACAGCCTGTGAAATTCTGCTGGCAAGAGAGTGTGTGAAATTCTGCTGGTAAACTGAATGAGCAAACAAGGCTTTGTTTGCTACTTTGTCTCACATATCCAGAAAACAATAAATGTAATGAAGACAAATTGTATGGGATAGAACAATTAAAGAGTTGGGGAGGAAGGGTACAATGATTCAGGTAGAAAATGATGGAACCTAAAGTGGAGTAGTAGATGAGGTAAATTGAAAAATACTGTTCATATTCCAGTTTGTTTCCATTCATCTTTTCAAGAACTTAACCAGTTTTTAAACTAAGCAACTCCACTAGACTTCCTTTCTTCAGAGTAGTGGATTGTTGTTGGTTTTGTTTCATTTATTTGTTTGTTTAGAGATGAGTTCTCACTGTCTATCCCAGCTGGTCTCAAACTCCTGGCCTTAAGTCATCCTCCCACTTCAGCTTAATCCCTTCAACACTGGGATTACTTTAGGCAAAAATTACTGCACCTAGCTCACAGCAGTCATTTTTAATTAAATTTTTCTAACTAAAACAAAGGTGGGCTGGATGCAATAGCATGTGTCTGTAGTCCCAGCACTTTGGGAGGCCAAGGAAGGTGGATCACTTGAGCCCAGCAAACATAGAGAAATCCCATCACCACAAAAAAATACAAAAAATTAGCTGGGTGTAGTGGTGCGTGCTTGTAGTCCCAGCTACTTGAAAGGCTGAGATGGGAGGATCACCTGGGCCCAGGAGGTCGAGGCTGCAGTGAGCCATGATCACACCACTGCACTCCAGCCTGGGTGACACAATGAGACCCTGTCTCAAAAAAAAAAGGTAAAGATTGCATCCTGAAGTGTGAGCTGCTTTAAAAAGGGGTCTCTGGCACAGGTTGCAGTGAGCCGAGATTGTACCACTGTACTCTGTCAAGACTCTGTCTCAATAAAAAAACCTCTCTGAATTTTACAGGTCACCAGACTAGAAATACAGTAACACCCACAAGAAAAATGCCTCTGATGCTGAGCCCAATACAATTCTAACCCCATAGCACATGTGAGGCAGTCCATTATTCATTCAACCAACAAATTGAGCTTGTGATATGTGCCAGACACTGGGAATATAGTTATTAACAAATTTTCCTGTTCTCTTGGAATAGACAAGAGAACTAGTGGGAGAGACAGATATAGAACAAACACAAATTTTAAATTTATAATTGTGAGTAGTTCCGGAAAGAGATATCAAAGGGACCTAGACTGGTCAGAGAGTTTCCCTAAAGAAGGGAAATGGACCAGGCACAGTGGCTCATGCCTGTAATCCCAGCACTTTGGGAGGCAGAGGCAAGCGGATTATGAGGTCGGGAGTTCAAGACCAGCCTGGCCAACATGTTGAAACCCTGTCTCTACTAAAAAAATAAAAAAAAAAAAAAAAATTAGCCGAGCATGGTGGCATGCATCCGTAATCGCAGCAACTCAAGAAACTGAGACAGGAGAATCACTTGAACCTGGGAGACAGGTTGCAGTGAGCCAGGATCGTGCCACTGCACTCCAGCCTAGATGACAGGGGAGACTCCATTTCAAAAAAAAATAAGAAAATAAGGGAAATATAAATTAACATTTGAAAAATGTATAGGAATTGGTGTAGGAATATATATAGTTGTTGAAAAGCCCTAAGAAAGCAAGTCAGTATGGCTAAATTTTAGTTCACTAATCTGGAAGCAAAGGGCAAAGGAGTAGTGGTTAAGATGACACAGAACCTTCCCGTGAGTAAAAGGTCATTGCCTTATCTCTTTTATATATCACTGGATTCCTAGCTTCTCAAATAGTTTCTGGCACACTGTAGGTATTCAGTAAATAATGGTTGAACAAATGAAAAGAGAGGGTATGATCACAAGTGTTTTCCAAGTAGACCACTCTGGCTCATGTATGAAAAGCATTGGATGGTGGGGGCAAAATTCCAAGGCTGGAAGAAAAGAGCAGTTAGAAGGCTATTGAAGTAATACAGACAATAGAAGATGATACCTTGGATTTGAGGAGTGATAGTGGTGATGGAAAAATGTAGATAAATACATATTTAGCAGGTAGAATTGACCAGTTTTAAGTAGAGATTGATTTGATGTAGGAGAATGAAGAGAGAAGTGTTAGGTATAACCCCCTGCTGTCTGGTTTTCTGGATGGATAGGTGATGGTGCCAGTAACTCAGTAAACAGGAAATCCTGAAAAAGGAGCAGGTTTGGTAGGAGAAGAGTTCTAGCTAAGTTTTGGACATATTAAGTTTGAGTCATTTGTGAGACACACAGATGAAGATCACGTCTGAAAGCTCAGAAAAGAGACCTAAATTGGAGATAAAAAGTTGAGGTTTATTGGTTTCTAGATGGTAACCAAAGCCTATTGTATGAGATCACCTACACTGAGATTGTGAAATGAAAAAAGGACCCAAGGAGAAAGCTTTGAGAAACTTACAGAAGAGGAAGAACTCACAAAAGAAACTGAGAAGGAACTAAAAGGGTGTTAAGAAAACCTGTGTTATCACATGAAAAATACCTCTGATGCTGAGCCCAATAAAATTTTGACCCCACAGCACATGTCCAAAGTGTCAGATCAGAGGCCCAGTGCAGTGGCTCATGCCTGTAATCTCAGCACTTTGGGAGGCCAAGGTGGGAGGATCAGTTGAGGCCACAAGTTCAAGACCAGCCTGGCCAACGGCAAAACCCTGTCTCTACTAAAAATACAAAAATTAGCCAGGTGTGGTGGTACATGCCTGTAATCCTAGCTACTTGGGAGGCTAAGGCA